ATAGAGCGAGGTTTCGTATTATTTAGATCCAAAAAAAGACATATGACAATGTTGTTTCCAATACAAATGATAAAAATCAATGTGTTTTCATTAGAATTAACAAAAAAAAACCTGATTTTCCGTTTATATTACCGATGGAAGATGTACACGAAAACATCTCTATTCCGGCTGAAACGTCGATATATTCAATAAAAACAGAACTTCTCCCATTTTCAATATCTTACTCAGTATTTTAACGAGAAACAAATAGTTGATTGAAAATGAAGTATTTAAGGTTATTATCTAATCAATTATATGTTTGCATCATTTTTATCGTATATATAATGAATTAATACCCATAAACTGAAAATTCACAAAAACGTGGAAAAACGGCAAAATATTGCCTAATTCGATGATATTTTGTTTAAATCACATAGAGGAAAAGGGGATGATAAACGTCAAAATATTGCTAAATTCGATGATTTCTCGTACAAAACAAAATGCAAGAAATTTGCTTAAAATGCAATATGTTGCGACATTCTGAGATTTGAAGGCCAACTCACATATTGTGATACTACATGAAATAGTATCGAAATATTGGTTAAAATGAATATATTTACGTAATATCAAACTACATGAAAAACGTGAAAAAAGTCACTATTTTACCATATTTGAGGATTTAAACTTCAAATCATAGAGCGAGGTTTCGTATTATTTAGATCCAAGAAAAGACATAAGACAATGTTGTTTCCAATACAAATGATAAAAAACAATGTGTTTTCATTAGAATTAACTAAAATGTTCTTGATTTTCCGTTATTATTACCGATGGAAGATGTACACGAAAACCGCTCTATTCCGGCTGAAACGTCGATATATGCAATAAAAACAGAACTTCTCCCCTTTTCAATATCTTACTCAGTATCTTAACGAGAAACAAATAGTTGATAGAAAATGAAGTATTTAAGGTTAATTTCTAATCAATTATGTGTTTGCATCATTTTTGTCGTATATATAATGAATTAATAACAATAAACTGAAAATTCACAAAAACGTGGAAAAACGGCCGAATATTGCCTAATTCGATGATATTTTGTTTAAATAACATAGAGGAAAAGGGGATGATAAACGTCAAAATATTGCTAAATTTGATGATTTTTCGTGCGAAACAAAATGCAAGAAAACTTGCTTAAAATGCAATATTATGCGAAATTCTGAGATTTGAAGGCCAAATCACATATCGTGATACTACATGAAATAGTATCGAAATTTTTTTAAAAATTAATATATATACGTAATATCAAACTACATGAAAAACGTGAAAAAAGTCACTATTTAACCATATTTGAGGATTTTAACTTCAAATCATAGAGCGAGGTTTCGTATTATTTAGATCCAAAAAAGGACATATGACAATGTTGTTTCCAATACAAATGATAAAAATCAATGTGTTTTCGTTAGAATTAACAAAAAAAAACCTGATTTTCCGTTTATATTACCGATGGTAGATGTAAACGAAAACATCTGTATTCCGGCTGAAACGTCGATATATTCAATAAAAACAGAACTTCTCCCCTTTTCAATATCTTACTCAGTATTTTAACGAGAAACAAATAGTTGATTGAAAATGAAGTATTTAAGGTTATTATCTAATCAATTATGTGTTTGCATCATTTTTATCGTATATATAATGAATTAATACCCAGAAACTGAAAATTCACAAAAACGTGGAAAAACGGCAAAATATTGCATAATTCGATGATATTTTGTTTAAATCACATAGAGGAAAAGCGGATGATAAACGTCAAAATATTGCTAAATTCGATGATTTTTCGTACGAAACAAAATGCAAGAAAACTTGCTTAAAATGCAATATTATGCGAAATTCTGAGATTTGAAGGCCAAATCACATATCGTGATACTACATGAAATAGTATCGAAATATTTTTAAAAATTAATATATATACGTAATATCAAACTACATGAAAAACGTGAAAAAAGTCACTATTTAACCATATTTGAGGATTTTAACTTCAAATCATAGAGCGAGGTTTCGTATTATTTAGATCCAAAAAAGGACATATGACAATGTTGTTTCCAATACAAATGATAAAAATCAATGTGTTTTCGTTAGAATTAACAAAAAAAAACCTGATTTTCCGTTTATATTACCGATGGTAGATGTAAACGAAAACATCTGTATTCCGGCTGAAACGTCGATATATTCAATAAAAACAGAACTTCTCCCCTTTTCAATATCTTACTCAGTATTTTAACGAGAAACAAATAGTTGATTGAAAATGAAGTATTTAAGGTTATTATCTAATCAATTATGTGTTTGCATCATTTTTATCGTATATATAATGAATTAATACCCAGAAACTGAAAATTCACAAAAACGTGGAAAAACGGCAAAATATTGCATAATTCGATGATATTTTGTTTAAATCACATAGAGGAAAAGCGGATGATAAACGTCAAAATATTGCTAAATTCGATGATTTTTCGTACGAAACAAAATGCAAGAAAACTTGCTTAAAATGCAATATTATGCGAAATTCTGAGATTTGAAGGCCAAATCACATATCGTGATACTACATGAAATAGTATCGAAATATTTTTAAAAATTAATATATATACGTAATATCAAACTACATGAAAAACGTGAAAAAAGTCACTATTTAACCATATTTGAGGATTTTAACTTCAAATCATAGAGCGAGGTTTCGTATTATTTAGATCCAAAAAAGGACATATGACAATGTTGTTTCCAATACAAATGATAAAAATCAATGTGTTTTCGTTAGAATTAACAAAAAAAAAAAAACTGATTTTCCGTTTATATTACCGATGGTAGATGTAAACGAAAACATCTGTATTCCGGCTGAAACGTCGATATATTCAATAAAAACAGAACTTCTCCCCTTTTCAATATCTTACTCAGTATTTTAACGAGAAACAAATAGTTGATTGAAAATGAAGTATTTAAGGTTATTATCTAATCAATTATGTGTTTGCATCATTTTTATCGTATATATAATGAATTAATACCCAGAAACTGAAAATTCACAAAAACGTGGAAAAACGGCAAAATATTGCATAATTCGATGATATTTTGTTTAAATCACATAGAGGAAAAGCGGATGATAAACGTCAAAATATTGCTAAATTCGATGATTTTTCGTACGAAACAAAATGCAAGAAAACTTGCTTGAAATACAATATTATGCGACATTCTGAGATTTGAAGGCCAAATCACATATTGTGATACTACATGAAATAGTATCGAAATATTGGTAAAAATGAATATATTAACGTAATATCAAACTACATGAAAAACGTGAAAAAAGTAACTATTTTACTATATTTGAGGATTTAAACTTCAAATCATAGAGCGAGGTTTCGTATTGTTTAGATCCAAGAAAAGACATAAGACAATGTTGTTTCCAATACAAATGATAAAAAAACAATGTGTTTTCATTAGAATTAACTAAAATGTTCTTGATTTTCCGTTTATATTACCGATGGAAGATGTACACGAAAACCGTTCTATTCCGGCTGAAGCAGTGAAGAGGAGTGTCACGTGCTTCTGTAGAGGTGGTAAAGCACCATAGTTGTTCGAGGAAACTTCATGGTGTAGCAACCCTCTCTCACGACCTCTGTTGCTCAAGTAAGGTCATGCCGTCGTCTCGCGAGCCTCGCGGGTTTTATATATATATATATATATATATATATATATATATATATATATATATATATATATATATATATATATATATATATATATATATATATATATATATATATATATATATATATATATATATATATTTTTTTTTTTTTAAAGTTTGTGAGGGTACCACCTCTGGTGCCAATGTGGGGACCCATAGCCTCGGAGAAGAAAATAAAAAGTATTCAGAGGAGACCTTGTGGTTTCTCACTGAACACTAATATTATCTTCTCCTACCACCCCCATTCTTTTGTATGTACACATATATATTTACTTTATTTGAACTTTGTTACAAAAAAGGAGTTACATATGGGTTACAAAGATAGTTGTCATAGGTTGTCGAGTTCCTCCAGCTCCTCAGATGGCGGGCAGGAACCCTGGATGCAGTGCGCATTTCCCCTCTGTATCGCCACACTGAGGCGCTGGAAAAGAAAGCTTGCAGCTCTCGGGTCCCTTGTTGTTTCAATGAGCCTAGAACCCAGTTCCTTCAAAAAACTGGTAGCACTTTTACCCCAGGCGCCGAGCGTCTCAGAAGCAATGGGGACAAAATTGTAGTGGTGATCCAGTTCTCTATACTTACGGGATTTGGCTGCTTCCCTGTGGTTGGCAGCGCCACCTGGTTGTGCAACACTATATATATATATATATATATATATATATATATATATATATATATATATATATATATATATATATATATATATATATATAATATATTATAATCTTTTCTCTGACCTCTCAATTAGGTCTCGTATGTGGAATAACTCTCTGATAGGTAGACTCGTTCTTCAGGCTACCTGGGGTCATAACACTTGTCAGCAGATTATAGCTAGTCAACACCTCACTCTGCCTCACCCACTACAACCACACTCTCCATCATTCCCGCACACATACGCAACTCACAATTATAACATGAAACAGTGCAAAACACTTAGCATTGTTACAATCTCTTCCCCTCCTAACTCTCCCATTTCACCTCATGATCGTTGTCACCTTCTCCAACACTGCCACCAAAGCTACCTTTTACAACACCCGGGGTCAAATCCTATCACCAATTCCAAGTTTACTATATTAACAGATGTTAGATATTGCATTATAATAATGGCCGGCGGAACTGCATATATATATATATATATATATTATATAGGTATTACTAGAGTTACTAGTAAAACACCAAATTTAGTATCCACAAAATGAACGTATCCGTAATGATGAAAATGTTCCTGATGTTTCTCGCGGTCACTTCTGGAATTTGTTTAATTTCTTCATTTGAAAATCATGTTTATGAAGAGGGAAAAAGATTTGGACCTATAATTGGCTCTATCGTTGGACCCGTAAATGGACCCGTCATTGGTTCTATCGTTGGACCCGTTAATGGACCCGTCATTGGCTCCATCATTGGACCCGTTAATGGACCCATCATTGGCTCCATCATTGGACCCGTTAATGGACCCGTCATTGGCTCCATCATTGGACCCGTTAATGGACCCATCATTGGCTCCATCATTGGACCCGTTAATGGACCCATCGTTGGCTCTGTCGTTAGTGAAGATGGTAAGATGGCGGTGAAGATGACTGAAAGATTCTTAAAAATTCGTGAGTTGTTGATAATGGGCGGAGCTGTGGCAGGTTTCTTGATCATCAGCCGTTGGCTTCCTTACCACCCACAAGATGATGAATGCAATGTGAAGGTAAGAGATTCCTCGAGTGGGGAGGAAACTGAACCTTGTTCAAGTGGGGATGAAACTGAAGCTTGTTCAAGTGGGGATGAAACTGAAGCTTGTTCAAGTGGGGATGAAACTGAAGCTTGTTCAAGTGGGGACGACACTGAAACTTGTTCAAGTGGGGATGAAACTGAAGCTTGTTCAAGTGGGGAAGAAACTGAAGCTTGTCCAAGTGGGGATGAAACTGAAGCTTGTTCAATTGGGGATGAAACTGAAGCTTGTTCAAGTGGGGACGACACTGAAGCTTGTTCAAGTGGGGATGAAACTGAAGCTTGTTCAAGTGGGGACGACACTGAAGCTTGTTCAAGTGGGGATGAAACTGAAGCTTGTTCAAGTAGGGAAGAAACTGAAGCTTGTTCAAGTGGGGATGAAAATGAAGCTTGTTCAAGTGGGGACGACACTGAAGCTTGTTCAAGTGGGGATGAAACCGAAGCTTGTTCAAGTGGGGATGAAACCGAAGCTTGTTCAAGTGGGGATGAAACTGAAGCTTGTTCAAGTGGGGATGAAACCGAAGCTTGTTCAAGTGGGGACGAAACGTTGACTTTCGACGAGTTACATTCGATAATCAATTACTTATGTCGTAGTGGTTACGATACCGATTGTAGTGATGGAGAAGATGAAGTTTGCTTAAGTGGAGACGAAACGGAAGCTTGTTCGAGTGGGGAAGAAACTGATGAAACGTTGACTTTCGACGAGTTACATTCGATAATCAATTACTTGTGCCGTAGTGGTTACGAATGTAGTGATTGTAGTGATGGAGAAGATGAAGTTTGCTTGAGTGGAGACGAAACTGATGAAATGTTGACTTTCGACGAGTTACATTGGATATTCAATTACTTATGCCGTAGTAGTTACGATACCGATTGTAGTGATGGAGAAGATGAAGTTTGATTGAGTGGGGAAGAAACTGATGAAACGTTGACTTTCGAGGAGTTACATTGGATACTGTCACAGGGGGTGGGCTGGGGCTCTGCTAGCAGTCGGCTGCTAAGGGGCTCAGAAGGCAGAATACTCAGCCCCTCCGACTCTTGGGACTCACCGGAGTCTCCTGGTCCCACAGGAGAGGACCAGTAATACCCACCACCGCAGGTCTTTGCCCCCACCACTAGGGGTGCCACTGATTCACCCTGGAAGCCCTTCAGTCAACCACGGGGAAACTGCCATTAGCAATTCCGGCCTAGACCCATGGAGAAGTGAAGGAAGACCCAGGCTTACCTTTTAACAATAACTTCCCCTGAGTCTCTCCTGCCAGACAAAAAGTTGCAGGAATTCCTTTCCCGCCTGCCTTCTCTATCTTTTGACAAGGTCGCCAGCTGGGTTCCCCACTTTATCCTTATGTGATATGATCTCCTCAATCCCCCTTTGACTTATTAATTTTACGTCCTACCCTGTCCACAGCAGTGGTTCTTGGTTCTTTCTCTCTCTCCTTCTTTACTACTTCTTGGGAAGCCTCACTAGGACAAGGCCAAACACCAGCAAATTTGAATACATTTACTGGACAAAGCACATACACAGTACATACACACATACAATAATAATAATAATGAATCCTACACTCTATACTATTTTAGTCAGGTTGCACTCCAACACCATCAGAACTCTATCATCAGCTTACCAAGTGGTATCCTATCTTCTGATTCACCACCTGATACTATCTACCTCCTCAAGTCGATCAAGTCTTATACTACAATGTTGCACTATCAGCGAGAGAATATATATATAAACATGTACAAGGAAAATCAGCGTATGAATGCAATAACATATATATATATATATATATATATATATATATATATATATATATATATATATATATATATATATATATATATATATATATATATATATATATATATATATATAACTGAAAACTCACACCCCAGAAGTGACTCGAACCCATACTCCCAGAAGCAACGCAACTGGTATGTACAAGACGCCTTAATCCACTTGACCATCACGACCGGACATAATGAGGTGATAGCCTAAGCTATTTGAACCACCCCACCGCCGGCACTCGGATAGTAATCTTGGGCATAGCATTTTACCAAATCACCTCATTCTTTGGGGCACACGTGAGGAACACAAATGCGAACAAGCCTGGGGTGGTTCAAATAGCTTAGGCTATCACCTCATTATGTCCGGTCGTGATGGTCAAGTGGATTAAGGCGTCTTGTACATACCAGTTGCGTTGCTTCTGGGAGTATGGGTTCGAGTCACTTCTGGGGTGTGAGTTTTCAGTTGCATATTGTCCTGGGGACCATTCAGGCTTGTTCGCATTTGTGTTCCTCACGTGTGCCCCAAAGAATGAGGTGATTTGGTAAAATGCTATGCCCAAGATTACTATCCGAGTGCCGGCGGTGGGGTGGTTCAAATATCTTAGGCTATCACCTCATTATGTCCGGTCATGATGGTCAAGTGGATTAAGGCGTCTTGTACATACCAGTTGCGTTGCTTCTGGGAGTATGGGTTCGAGTCACTTCTGGGGTGTGAGTTTTCAGTTGCATATTGTCCTGGGGACCATTCAGGCTTGTTCGCATTTGTGTTCCTCACGTGTGCCCCAAAGAATGAGGTGATTTGGTAAAATGCTATGCCCAAGATTACTATCCGAGTGCCGTCGGTGGGGTGGTTCAAATAGCTTAGGCTATCACCTCATTATGTCCGGTCGTGATGGTCAAGTGGATTAAGGCGTCTTGTACATACCAGTTGCGTTGCTTCTGGGAGTATGGGTTCGAGTCACTTCTGGGGTGTGAGTTTTCAGTTGCATATTGTCCTGGGGACCATTCAGGCTTGTTCGCATATATATATATATATATATATATATATATATATATATATATATATATATATATATATATATATATATATATATATATATATATATATATATATATATATATATATATATATATATATATATATATATATCAGTATAAATGTTCCTTGATACACAACATTGATCAATCGATCACCCTATCAGTCCTAAAACACATACATCTGTAGGTAATCCAACCTACGTCTGTAACTCTATGCTTCAGTATAGACTCTCCTCGGCACAAGAACGGCAAACAATCACTCACCTTTCACTGCGCCTTGCCCTTTCACTTCCCTTCCATATCGGGAAGTTCACTACCCTGATCTCTTCAGGAACTACCAGGATCCTCTGCAGCTCCTCCAGGCTGCTACACCATGAAGTTTTCCTTGGGCAACTATAGTGCTTCACTACCTCTACTAGGGTCCTCCTCAGCTCTCCTGGCTGCTACACCATGAAGTTTCCTCGAACAACTATGGTGCTTCACCACCTCTACAGAAGCACGTGACACTCCTCTTCACTGCTTCAGCCGGAATAGAACGGTTTTCGTGTACATCTTCCATCGGTAATATAAACGGAAAATCAAGAACATTTTAGTTAATTCTAATGAAAACACATTGTTTTTTTATCATTTGTATTGGAAACAACATTGTCTTATGTCTTTTCTTGGATCTAAACAATACGAAACCTCGCTCTATGATTTGAAGTTTAAATCCTCAAATATGGTAAAATAGTTACTTTTTTCACGTTTTTCATGTAGTTTGATATTACGTAAATATATTCATTTTTACCAATATTTCGATACTATTTCATGTAGTATCACAATATGTGATTTGGCCTTCAAATCTCAGAATGTCGCATAATATTGCATTTCAAGCAAGTTTTCTTGCATTTTGTTTCGTACGAAAAATCATCGAATTTAGCAATATTTTGACGTTTATCATCCGCTTTTCCTCTATGTGATTTAAACAAAATATCATCGAATTATGCAATATTTTGCCGCTTTTCCACGTTTTTGTGAATTTTCAGTTTCTGGGTATTAATTCATTATATATACGATAAAAATGATGCAAACACATAATTGATTAGATAATAACCTTAAATACTTCATTTTCAATCAACTATTTGTTTCTCGTTAAAATACTGAGTAAGATATTGAAAAGGGGAGAAGTTCTGTTTTTATTGAATATATCGACGTTTCAGCCGGAATAGAGATGTTTTCGTGTACATCTTCCATCGGTAATATAAACGGAAAATCAGTTTTTTTTTTTTGTTAATTCTAATGAAAACACATTGATTTTTATCATTTGTATTGGAAACAACATTGTCATATGTCTTTTTTTGGATCTAAATAATACGAAACCTCGCTCTATGATTTGAAGTTAAAATACTCAAATATGGTTATATAGTGACTTTTTTCACGTTTTTCATGTAGTTTGATATTACGTATATATAATAATTTTTACCAATATTTCGATACTATTTCATGTAGTATCACGATATGTGATTTGGCCTTCAAATCTCAGAATTTCGCATAATATTGCATTTTAAGCTAGTTTTCTTGCATTTTGTTTCGTTACGAAAAATCATCAAATTTAGCAATATTTTGACGTTTATCATCCCCTTTTCCTTTATGTGATTTAAACATAATATCATCGAATTAGGCAATATTTTGCCGTTTTTCCACATTTTTGTGAATTTTCAGTTTCTTGTTATTAATTCATTAAATATATGATAAAAATTATGCAAACACATAATTGATTAGAAATTAACCTTAAATACTTCATTTTCAATCAACCATTTGTTTCTCGTTAAAATACTGAGTAGGATATTGAAAAGGGGAGAAGTTCGGTTTTTATTGCATACATCGACGTTTCAGCCTGATAAGAGCGGTTTTACGTGTACATCTTCCATCGGTAATATAAACGGAAAATCAGGAACATTTTAGATAATTCTAATGAAAACACATTGGTTTTTATCATTTGTATTGGAAACAACATTGTCATATGTCTTTTCTTGAATCTAAATAATACGAAACCTCGCTCTATGATTTGAAGTTAAAATCTCCAAAAATGGTAAAATAGTGACTTTTTTCACGTTTTTCATGTAGTTTGATATTACGTAAATATATTCATTTTTAGCAATATTTCGATACTATTTCATGTAGTATCACGATATTTGATTTGGCCTTCAAATCTTAGAATTTCGCATAATATTGCATTTTAGGCAAGTTTTCTTGCATTTTGTTTCGTACGAGAAATCATCGAATTTAGCAATATTTTGACGTTTATCATCCCCTTTTCCTCTATGTGATTTAAACAAAATATCATCGAATTAGGCAATATTTTGCCGTTTTTCCACGTTTTTGTGAATTTTCAGTTTATGGGTATTAATTCATTATATATACGATAAAAATGATGCAAACATATAATTGATTAGATAATAACCTTAAATACTTCATTTTCAATCAACTATTTGTTTCTCGTTAAAATACTGAGTAAGATATTGAAAAGGGGAGAAGTTCTGTTTTTATTGAATATATATCGACGTTTCAGCCGGAATAGAGATGTTTTCGTGTACATCTTCCATCGGTAATATAAACGGAAAATCAGGTTTTTTGTTGTTAATTCTAATGAAAACACATTGATTTTTATCATTTGTATTGGAAACAACATTGTCATATGTCTTTTTTGGATCTAAATAATACGAAACCTCGCTCTATGATTTGAAGTTAAATCCTCAATTTAATTAGAAATTAGAAATTAACCTTAAATACTTCATTTTCTATCAACTATTTGTTTCTCGTTAAGATACTGAGTAAGATATTGAAAAGGGGAGAAGTTCTGTTTTTATTGCATATATCGACGTATCAGCCGGAATAGAGCGGTTTTCGTGAACATCTTCCATCGGTAATAATAACGGAAAATCAAGAAC